TGAAAAGAAAATTACTAAAACAATTCTAGGAATAAATATACATAGGAATTAGCCAAGGAAATGAAAGACTTGTACAATGAAAACTATAAAACACTGGCGAAAGAAATTAAAGAAGAGAGCCCTGGGTGGTATGGCTCAGTGGGTTGGGTGTCATCCCACGGGCTGAAGGGTTAGGTTCTAGTTGGGGCACATGGAAGAGGCAACCAATCCATGTTTCTCTCTCACATCAATGTTTCTCTCTCTCTCTTTCTCCTGCTTTTTAAAAAGAGAGATATTTCAAACTTTTTAAAAAGAGAGAGAGAAATTACCCTGACTGGTGTGGCTCAGTGGATTGAGCACTGGCCTGTGAACCAAAGAGTCGCAGGTTAGATTCCCAGTCAGGGCACATGCCTGGGTTGCAGACCAGGTCCACAGTAGGGGGAGCTCAACAGGCAACCACACATGATGTTTCTCTCCCCCTCTCCACTCCCCTCTCTAAAAATAAATAAAATCTTTTTTAAAAAAAGAAATTAAGCTCTGGCTGGCGTAGCTCAGTGGACTGAGCGCAGGCTGCAAACCAAAGTGTCGCAGGTTTGATTCCCATCCAGGGTACATGCCTGGGTTGCAGGCCATAACCCCCAGCAACTGCACATTGATGTTTCTCTCTCTCTCTCTCTCTCTCTCTCTCCCTCCCTTACCTCTCTAAAAATAAATAAATAAAATCTTTTAAAATATTCTTTTAAAAAAAGAAATTAAGGAAGACATAAATAAATGGAAACACATCCCATGTCCATAGGATTGGAAAATTTATATTGTTAAGCTGCCAATTACTACCTAAAGCAATCTAGATTCAATGTAATTCCTACCAAAATCCCAATGACATTTTTTACAATAATTAAAATAAACGAATCTTAAAACTCATATGGAATCTCAAGGGATCCCAAATAGCCAAAACAATCTTGAAAAAGGACAAAACTGAAGGTTTCATACCTCCTGATTTCAAAACTTACTACAAAGCTCCAAGTCATGAAAACAGTATGGTAGCGACATACAGATAAACATAGACAGAACAGAGCCCAGAAATAATCCCTCACATGTATGGTCAAGTGATTTTTGACAAGGGTGTCAAGGCCATTTGGGAAAAGGACAGTCTTTCAAACATAAGGTGCTGGGAAATTTGGATATCCACTTGCAAAAAAATGAAGTTGAACCCTTACATAACCATATGCAAAAATCAACTCAAAATGGACCAAGGACCTAAATGTAAGAATGTGAGACCTAAAAAAATAAAACGCTTCGATGAGCACTGACTGGTGTAGCTCAGTAGATTGAACACTAGCCAGCAAACCAAAAGGTTACCAATTCTATTCCCAGTTAGGGCACATGCCTGGGTTGCTGACCAGGTCCTGGGTTGTGGGGTGTGTGAGAGGCAACTAACTGGTGTTTCTCTCCCTCTCTTCCTCCCTCCTTCTTTCTCTCTCTAAAAATAAGTAAAGTAAAGTAAAAAGTAAAGTAAAAAGTAAAGTAAAATAAAATAAAAAATAAAATAAAATAAAATAAAATAAAATAAACTCTTAGAAGAAAACACAGGACAAAAGCTTCATGACAGTGGATTGGACACTGATTTCTTGCACATGATCCTAAAGACATGGGCAATAAAAGAAAAAAATAAATTGGACACTGAAATTTTTATAATTTTGTACATCAAAACACAGTATAAATGGAATGAAAAGGCAACTCACAGAATGGGAGAAAATATTTTCAAATCATTTATATTCTAAGGGGTTAATATCCAAAATACGTAAAGAACTCCTAAAATTCAGCAACAATAAGCAAACACTATTAAAAAAGGACAAAGGACTTAAACTTACATTTCTCCAAAGAAGGTATGCAGATGGCTGCTAAGCACATGAAAGTATGCTCAACATCACTGACAGAGAAATGAAAAACTATAACAAGATACTAACTCACATCTATTAGAACGCTTACTATCAAAAAAATAAAAATGAAAATAGCAAGTGTTGGCAAGAATATTGAGAAATTGAGAATATAAAATGCTATAGCTACTATGAAAAACAGTATGGCAGTTCTTCAAAAAATTAAAAATAGCATTACCATATGATCCAGCAATTCCATTTCTGCACATATACTCAAAGAATGGAAGGCAAGGTCTTGAATAAATATTAGCACACTGGAGACTTCCGGCAAGATGGAGGAATAGGTGGACGCACCGTACCTCCTCGCACAACCAAGATTAGAACAACAATAATTTACAAACAGAATATCACTCAGAACTGACAGAGGATTTATCTGAATGGAAGTTAGACAGCCAAGAAGTTGAAGTAGACCTGTACATCCAGACTGGTAGGAGAAGACGAGCCGGGCGGGCGCGGGGCTGGCACGGGTCAGCAGCGCGAGGAGGTCGGGGAAAATTTGGCGCGAAATCGGCGCAACAGCCATCTGGGGCGCAAGAATGCAGCGGTGATCTCTGAGTACACAAGCTGCGGCTGGCGGACCCAGTGAGGCAGCGATTGTGGACCAGGGCAGAGCTCGCAGCCCAAGAACCCAAAGAAGGGTCTGAGCCCAGGAGAACGGAACTACCGCCATTGTTCCCTCCCGCTCCTGCCCCCACATATAACGTCACAATCTAGCGACAGGGGTGCCCAGCCCCAGTGAACACCTAAGGCTCAGCCCCCCACCGTAACAGGAGCGACCAGACCAAAAAAAAAAAAAGGAGAGACAGGGAAAGACATAAGACATGTTTCCAACAGAACAGATCAGTCCCCCAGGACTCATCCTTTTGAGCGACCAAGAAATAGCCAATCTATCAGATGCACAGTTCAAAACACTGGTGATCAGAAAGCTCACGGAATTGGTGGATTTTGGGCGCAATTTAGATGAAAGGATGCAGGTTACCATAAAAGAGATGCAGGAAGATACGCAGAGGAGAGCCAATAGTAAAAGGAAGGAATCTGAGTCTCAAAACAATACAGTGGACCAGAAGGAAGATAGAATCAACCAAGCAGGAAAGCATGATGAAATAAGAATTCAAAAAATCAAGGAAAAGCTTAAGAGCATCCAGGACACCTTTAAACGTTCCAACATCTGAATTATAGGGGTACCAGAATGGGAAGGAGAAAAGCAACAGATTGAGCACGTATTTGAACAAATAAAGGAGAACTTCCCCAATCTGGCAAAGGGAAGTCTTCCACGAAATCCAAGAAGCTCAGAGAGCCCCAAAGAAGTTGGACCCAAGAAGAAACACACCAAGGCACATCATAATTACATTAGCCAAGGTAAAAACAAAGGAGAGAATCCTAGAAGCAGCAAGAGATAAGGGGACAGTAATCTACAAAGGAGTTCCCATCAGACTGTCAGCTGATTTCTCCAAAGAGACCTTACAGGCAAGAAGGGGCTGGAAAGAAATATTCCAAGTCATGAAAGACAAGGACCTATATCCCAGATTGCTCTATCCAGCAAAGCTCTCATTTAGAATGGAAGGGAAATAAAGTGCTTTTCAGATAAGGTCAAGTTAAAGGAGTTCATCATCACCAAGCCCTTATTTTATGAAATGTTAAAGGGACTTATCTAAGAAAAGAAGATAAAGAAAACACATGTATAGTAAAAGGACAGCAAAGTCACAATTATTAACAACCACACCTAAAGCAAAACCAAAAGAAACTAAGTAAACAACTAGAACAGGAACAGAACCACAGAAATGGAGGGCACATGGAGGGCTAGCAGCAGGGGGGTGGGTGGGAGGAGGAGAGGGGGGGAAAAGGTATAGAGAATAAGTAGCATAGAATGTAGGTTGAAAATAGATAGGGGGAGGGCAAGAATAGTACGGGAAATGTAGAAGCTAAAGAACTCATAAGTATGACACATGGACATGAACTAAAGTGGGGGAACGTGGGTGGGAGAGGCTGTACAGGGTGGAGGGGAGAGAAGGGGGGAAATGGGACAACTGTAATAGCATAATCAATAAAATAGATTAAAAAAAGAAATATTAGCACACTCACGTTCATAGCACAATTATTCACAATAGACAAAATTTGGAAGCAACTCATGTGTCTGTTGATGAGTGAACAGATAAGCAAAATGTGGTATGTACATGCAATAGATTATTATTCAACCTTAAGAAGTAGGGAAATTCTGACACATGTTATAATACAGATGATCCTTGAGGACAATACATGAAGTGAAATAAGCCAGCCACAAAAAGACAAATACTTTATAATTCCACTTATGACATACTAGAATCATAGAGACAAAAAAGTAGAATGATGATTTCTACGGGCTGGAGAAAGAAAGAAATAGGACTTATTGTTTAATGGGTATAGAGTTTCTGTTTTACAAGATCAAAGGAGCTACGGAGATGGATGGTGGAGATGGTTGTACAACAATGTGAACTACTTAGAGCCACTAAATGGCACACTTAATATTGGTTAAAATAGTTAATTTTTATATGTTTTTGTACAATAAAAATCTTTAAAGCAAATTATCATAGAATAATCAGCCATAACTTTAAAAAATGGGTTTTGTATCACTTCCCAGCCTTTTGGCTATGATCAAGTATAAAACATGGGTTTTGCCAAAAATATATTAGAAAGCAGGATGTTCACACTGCAGAACACTTAAAAAATCTGCACATACCCAACAGGTCTTGGTTTTTAAATTATTGAAGACATAATCTTTGATTATCAATTCCCTTATAACTTTACATATAAACACTGGGTGTTCTAAATAAAAACATTTGGAAAAATGATTGTTTCTTTTTCTTACATGCTAAAATTGCCTACTTAAGGTTAGTCCTTGTAAGTATAAGCTTTCAGAGTAACAAGCTTGAAGCTTACCCCCAACTATTAAGTCCTTGAGAAATAGAGGGTTGTTTTGTCCTCAAAGGCTAGAAAACAAAGTTAAAAATCTTAAAATAGTGAAGTCTTTTTCACATTAACACTGTCCTACTGGACTGAACAGAGAAGCCAGGTAACATGTTTTTTATAGACTAAAAGAACTCTTACCTGGAAGATTACCCTTTGAAATGGTATCTGTATCCAAATTGTAGGTGTCCTGGAGACGCAACAGGGCTTTGGCTGCCCCAACCTGATCTTCATCATTAGGAAAGTACTGTCTCTGAATTGTTAGGTTAGAGATAAAGCCTGGAAATAAGGAAATAAGGGAGTGCAGAGACTTTAGAACCTCAGAGACTTCAAATTTCCAGTACAGTCTTTACAAAGTTTTTTCAAAATTGATTTTATTATAATTGTCTACTATACTGTGTTCCACATGCTTAATGAGAAAAAATTAAATACACTGAATGAGACATGACATACCTCTAACACCTTCTATTTTCCCAAACCTTTGCTAGTGTTACTTAATCTGAGATCACTGAATAAATTAAGCCTGTGTTAGTAGATGCAAATAAATTATGTATGTATGCTTTAGTAGATACAGATCAACTAACATAATAATTGAGCTTTTAGTTGTACAACATAGCCTCCATTAAGCTTGAAAAATGAACAGATTTGAAAATGATATTCATGGGCAACCAATTATACTTTCAGGTAATACATGGTAAGTAAAATATATGTTCTTAAATTGTTATTTTCTTCCATGTGCCACACATTATATAAATATGTAAACATATAAAGTTTGGTGGAATTGTTTAAGGAGAATTAGAGTTATTGATTATATATTTAAGATTATCAGCCCTGGCTGGTATGGCTCAGTGGATTGAGCACCAGCCTGAGAACCAAAAGGTCATAAGCTCGACTCCCAGTCACGGCACAAGCCTAGGTTGCAGGGCAAGTCCCCAGCTGGGGGCATGTGAGAAGCAATCAATTGATGTATCTCTCACACATTAATGTTTCTCTCCCTCTCTTTCTGTCTCCATTCCCCTCTCTCTAAAAGTAAATAAATAAAATCTTAAAAAAGACTTACACTCATATTTTTAAAAACATTAAGTAAGCTTGTTTATTAAAATATATTTAAATCTAATTATTGAATATAGTGTTCATCAAGATTTGCTCTATATAAAAATCTTAATTTCAAACCTTTATATATAAAATATATCACAAATCAAACTAATTATTGGTAACTATATAACCCTTAAGGAGAATGGATGCTAAATACTCTTTAAGGAACCAAAAAAACAAAAAGTTTATAAATTTTTTAAAATGTGTCATCATTTGCCAATAAAAGTTTGGTATGAGACCTCCTTTCCCTCTCATTTACTTACCAACTTTTTTGATCAGCAAAGAGCCATGCATTTTTACGTTAATGAAAATGTAAAAATGAATAACTAGCTGGAAAAGGGCTTTCATATAAAGCATTTTTTTTAGTTGTAAAACCAACTCTCAGTCACGATATCCACATGGAATTTTACAAACAAGTTTTATAAATTTTACAGATGACTATACTGACTTTTAGTCCCAAAACAAATGTTAAGAAATTGCTTAAATCCTCCTTAATAAAAAGAGAAAAAAATATATATAGTAGCTTTATGAATGACTACCACAATTAAAATGTCAAAGTCTCAAGGTTTACCTTATAAAAGAACTCAGATCATACAGATTATTTGAGAATTTTAAATAAATGAATGAATGAATACGTATATATATACACACACACGACCTTTAAAATGTTGTCATGGTGTTATATATGACAGCAAATATCACAGGTATTTTCCTCTCATTGTGAGGAAGTATTCATAGTGCTTGCCTGAACTTTTCTTTTCAAGGTTTCCTATCCTATGCAAAATAGTTTAGTTTACATAACTATTTCATCTATATAGCTAGCTCAATTCTCTCCCCCTCTTTAAAAATTTTTTTAAATACCATATGATTTCACTCATATGTGGAATCTAATAAACAAATTGAACTAACAAGAAAAACAGAGACAGACTCATGGATAGAGAGCAGCCTGGCAGCCCTGGGGTGGGGGTGTTGGAGAGTAGAAGAGTCAAAACGACTCACAGACATGGACAACAGTGTGGAGGCAACGGGGCGAGGGTGTAAGGGGGATAAATGATAATGGAAAAATACAATAAAAAATAAATCTAAAAAAATGTTTTTGCCACCTTCAGTCATTCAACAGATATCTGAGCCTGTACTATGTACTAACCCCCATCCCTTTGCTTCCTTAAGCTTCAGACTTCATTTTCTGGGTCTGTTAATAATACCTTAAATACCTTAAATACCTTAAACACCTTAATACTCCAATTATGGTGGGCTGGGATGGGAGTAAAAGACAGAAAACTGTCCTTCAACAACAATTAAAATTTTAAAAAATGTTATCAAAAAAAAAAAAAAAAAACACGAAAAAATACTCCAATCACAATTTACTGTTCCAAATACAGACATTACTTATTACTGTTTGCAGCCTCAGTTTTTAAATTTATTGTCTATTAAGTAAAACAATCCTAAGTTTCAAAAATACTATCTAGCTCTGGCTGGTGTGGTTCAGTGGACTGAGCACAGGCCTGCAAACCAAAGGGTTGCTGGTTCAATTCCCAGTCAGGGCACATGCCTGGGTTGTGTGCCAGGTCCTCAGCTGGGGGCATGCGAGAGGCAACCACACGTTGATGTTTCTCTCCCTCTCTTTCTCCCTCCCTTCTTCTATCTCTAAAAATATAAATAAATAAATAAATAAATAAATACACCCCAGAAATAATTCAGTTGTAACAGTTAATACTTGATGTTCTGGGAACTGAAATATCCCTACTTGTGGCATTTCTACAGGTGGTAGCAATATTGCCTTACTTTGGGGGGCTCATTTTCTTACCACCTGACTTACCATCTGACATATCCTTAAGGACTAGATTCTCCAACTCACTCCATTCAGTGTTCAGACGTTTCACTAACTTGAAGGCATTTACAGGGTGCCCAACAAATCCTTCTGGATCTTTTGTCGCTGTGCTAGTTAGCCGATCTAACTTCTCTGCCCATCTATACATGTAAGACATATAATCAGGAAAACACAATTTAGTAATGCACTAAAAAAAAAGTCTGTATTAGAGGTTTTCGAGTTAAAACAATACCTAAAAATTCTTTTTAAAAGTAAAATTATGAAGGTTTTTTAAAAAGCAAAATGCTCTTAAGGATAAAATCTAGCATGGCAGAATATAAATATAACTACAAGACCTTTTCTTTAGCTTTTTTCCTCTCAAATGGTTTAAGTAAATGAAACCTATCTTAGTAAAAGTTGTAATTGGATCCCTCTAGTAATGGTCTAAATATTCATTTCCGCACAGGTCCTTAAAGCCAAATGACTGATTATTGCAAAGTACAAATTAGCCCAATCTGAATTCAGTTATATGTCCATTTAAATCATACTTACACCAAAATTTTACATTCATAGCAACAAAAAAAAGAGTACTTAGCTACTTATTAAACAAAAGATACAAATTCTCAGGTCAGGATTAACTATGAACCCAAGTCAATTAAAAATAAATTATCCTTTGAAGAAAAACTGTATCAATTAAATAATACTAACAATACTTATCACTATAATCTCTAGAATGGAACCATAGCAGTGAAAGATAAATAGATTTGGGAAATTGCTCCAGTAAGTGTTTTGATTAGGGAGGTTAGAAGACAGAAGATATTAACAACCATTTTTAAAATTTTTCAGTCAACAACCATATCCATTTATATTCTTATCTCAACCCATGTTCTTCCATGTGAACTCTTGGCCCAGGCCTAACTCTTGTTTTCTTTGCTCCTATTTTAGCCATTTCAGTGGGCTTTTTAAGACTGAGAGATGGCTTTCATTTCCACTCAATGTTTTAGCTCTAGAAATAAAACAGGTAGAGTCACAGTCATAATAAATAAACACTTTTTCTTACTTTTTTATTTGTTCTAATTTGTCTTCTTCTGCCTTAATATAGTCTTTCAGGGAAGTCACAAGGTCCTTCTCTGTATAAATCAAATCAGTCATCTGACCTTAAAGAAGGAGAAAGAAAGATTATCAAATACCCATATTCATCAACACAAGTATTTTAGACTAATTTAAGAATAATCAAGAATGCTTCTTGCTATGAAACAATCTAACTGGCATGAGAAAGCATGTTTTTCTTCCTTTTTTTTTAACCGGATAAATAAAAACAAAGCCAAAAATTTTTCTACTGATGTGTTCCAATTCTAATTTTCAAGCTCCTTAACTTGCAAGGATGGACTGTATTAGTAAATTGTCTTCTCATCTAAAAATATAACACTACTTTCCAAGGATCAATATTTCTTCTTGACCCCAACTCCCCCCGCACCATTATTTAATTTTTTAGGCTAATTAGAAATAACTTTTTATTCCATAAGTAAAACTACACTAACAAAAAGTATTATTCACAGCTGAAAATCCAATAATCCATTATTTATATATAATGGGAATGAGAGAACTCACCATTTTATATCCTGAAATTAGGTGTCATAAATACAATACTTGTGTTTTAATTACCTCTATAATCACACAAGGGTAAAGCTGGGCAACAAGATGAAGGAAAACATCCTATTTAAGACCAATGAAGTACGCATACAGGAAAACATAAAAGGATACTCACCAACCATGAGGAATATTTCTGGGGGTAAGAGGACATGCAAGTGTCTTACACTCTGTGTACTTCTATGTATACTTCTGTGTACTTACTATGTACTTCTGATTTGTTTCCCCTTTAAACAATATGCCATTTTGATAATACTTTATAGATTTCTTAAAATTATAATGTAGGAAAAAATAAGTTGGGTTCACAATAGATTCTTAAATGGAAAAGCAGGCTATGAAATAATGTGTATATCTAAATATTAAGAAAGACTAAGTATATGCATTAAATTATTTGCTGGGTGGAACTATTAATAGAGAATTTTCTTTTGTATGCTTTCCTAAATTTTCATAAGTTTTTAATCTGTAAATGTTTTACCTTTGTAATCAGAAAAAATATTTTAAAAAAACAAGCTGAATTTTAAAATGAGAATGTCTTTTAGAATACAGTGTATTTCTTTTTACTAACTTAAAATGCCAAAAAATAAAAAATTTTAAATGCAAAAACAATAAAACCAAAGAAGATTTAGGACTTACCAATTGAAGTAAAAAAGCCTGGATGGGACAAAGACTGGCGAAGTAGAATCCCTACTATTAAAATACACCGGATCATTTTGAAAGTCTTTATTTTACAGGTTCACACACCTACAAGAAAAATATGGTCGTTACAAAAAATTTTTAAAAGGCAGAGTAGAAAAAGTTTCCAACTTATTTTTCTTACAAACAAAAATGTAAGTCAGACCCCAACCCCAAGGTTGCCCGTAGAACTGCTGCTAATTCTTGTAGTTTGATTACTTAATAAGAGCCACTATTTTATTTTTCATATAATAAAAATTATAGTACTAACTTGATATTTCAGGTTAAAAAAAAGTTTATCACTTGATAATTTATGCTTAACAATTCAACCTAAATTTATCTTCTCCTTAATCACTGACTACTACAATTAGAATAATTGGATAGTAGTACTGCTTTCAGATAGCCTGAAAAATAACTTCTCTGTGATCCAGAGCTAAACCATCAACTTCCCATAAAAATATACTGTTCTATTAAAGTAACCTAATTTAAATATTACCAAAATACACTTTATAATGTTACAATACATTCTAAAGAGAACAGAGTTTTCAGAGCTTTCTAATTAATCCTTTAATTTCCAACTTGCCTCATCTTTTCCCTATATAGTTTTAAATTTTAAAATAAGTTCAATTAACTTATTTGGGGGTTTGGGTGTGATGAAAATGTCTAAAACTGACTGGTGACTGATGGTGGAAAAACAGTGACAGTACTAAAACCTTCTGAATTACGGACGTTAAATGGGTGATTTGTATGGTATATGAATTACACCTCAATGAAGCCGTTATTTTTTAAAAGTTGTACAGAACCCAAGAAAGGAAAAACAGCCCTGTTGATTTAAGCTAGTAATTTCTCTCAAAAGACTCGGTGTCGAGTTTATCTTATCTACTGTGTTCTATGTAAAAAATCCCCAGCCTAGTACTTAGCTGTGGCTTTTTTTTTAACCAGGCAGCAAAGTACTTCTTCAGTCTTTTTTCTTTGTGCCCGGTAGCATTGTCTTTCTAGAATGTATTCTTCATGGTGGATGCAGATACCAATTAAGTAACAGAAAGATTTTACCCTGCTTTCCCTAAATGCCCTATTGCCCTGATTCTCCACTTGTTCCTTCTCCATCACATACACAGACTTTAAGTCATTCTTAATACCTTACAGGGGAATCAGTTACCATTAATGTATCATTTGCCCAGTAACAGGCTACTGATTATTCTGCACAGGTCCTTTGTCTGACTTGTCACCCTATTCCTCTTTTTGCAGGAACCTCTGTCTGTTTCTTCCCAAGTGACTTCACCCAAACCAGCGGGTTAAAATTTACATTGGAAAGCTCCCTACTGCAAAACCAAACCAAAACAAAACATTACCCCACTTTCTTAACTTGAATCTCAATCAAGATCACCATAGAAACTGACATTCTGGAAGTACTTTGAAGTCTCCTTCTCAAGTTTGCCGCAAACTTCCAGATACTTCCAGAACCACACAGTAGTAAAGTACACTGCTCTCTTGGCTGCTCTACAGTAACTCTTTGGGAAAGCTTCTAGAATGTAGCAGATGCAGACACTTCCTCTCCTGGGCTCCTGCCAAAGCACAAGGCTCATGCAAAATCCTGGACTGCATGAAACGTCTAGAATCTTCTCACTTTAAACGGGTCTATGTCATAATTTCCTTCATGAACAAATGTTATTTCCAGAAAATACAAATGCTTTTGCTGTACTAACAGCAGGCTAATCAGAAATGCTTTCTAATGTTTAACTCTTATGAGAAAGTTTAGATTTGTCAAGTAAGAAGTTGTTATTTTTTCATTGTTACAATATATTCTGTCACTAAAGTTTCCTTGTCATCTTTCTTCGTCCTTAAACCTCATAATGAATCAAGAATCATTAGCCTACAGAAATTACTAAAAAAAAGCTTGAAAACTGCATTTTAAGAATGATAGCGCTTATATAAAAATTCAAAGTATTAACGATATGAAAAATAAATGTACCTTTACCTTATCATGCTGCAAAATAAATTCTAGATAGACTAAAGAGTTATAATCAACAAATATAAAATAACAGCAAAAAAGTTGTTGGATCTCTCAAAGGAGAGAATTTCTAAACTTAAAAGTGATAAAAACAACTTAATGAAAGCCAGATGGGATTTAAATACACAAAATAATTTAGGTTTATATGCTTAAAAAAAACTACTACTACTAACTGGGAAACTAAAGAAAAAACAGTTCATTTAAGGTACTCACACAAATCAGTAAGATGTTAATAGGTAAGTGGATTAAGAATGTAGAAAGTCACAAAAGAGGAACTATAGATAACTAAACAAAAAACAACTCAGTAATGAAGGACACAAAAAACTGAAATAAGATACTTTCTGCCCATTAAATAAACAATTAAACAAATTTAACAAATTAACAATTAAAAATATCTAATGATGGTGCTATGTCAAGTAATTTAAAATGAACATATCCTTTAACTTGTGAATTTAAACAAAAAAAGGGAGAAGATTTCAAAATTAACATCAATTCTCATTCATTACTTGTGGGGATGCAAAATGGTATACCACTTTGGAAGACAATTTGGCAGTTTCTTAAAATTTAACATACTTTTACCATACAATCCAGCAATCATGATCCTCGGTATTTACCCAAAGGAGCTGAAAACACATGTCTACATAAAAACCAGCACACAGATGTTTACAGCACCGTAATTCATAATGGTCAAAACTTAGAAGCAACTAAGATGTCCTTCAGCAGGTGAATGGATAAACTGTGATACATCCAGACAATGGAATATTATTCATTGCTAAAAAGAAATGAGCTATTGGCCCTGTCTGGCGTAGCTCAGTGGACCGGGCGTGGGCTGCAAACCAAAGTGTCGCAGGTTTGATTCCCAGCCAGGGTACATGCCTGGGTTGCAGGCCATAACCCCCAGCAACCGCACATTGATGTTTCTCTCTCTCTCTCTCTCTCTATCTCCCTCCCTTACCTCTCTAAAAATAAATAAATAAAAAATCTTAAAAAAAAAAAAGAAATGAGCTATTAAGGTAGAAAACACAGGCAGAAACCCTAAATGCATATTACTTGGTGAAAGAAGCCAATCTGAAAAGGCTATATACTGTATGATTCCAAGCACATAACATTCTGGGAAATGCAAAACTATGAAGTAAAAAGATCAGTACATGTCGGCAGTGAATAGATGAAGCAGGGAGGATTTTTAGGGCAGTGAAAATGCTATGTGTGATAAAATGATAAATACACGTCATTATGCATTTGTTCAAACCCAAAGAATACACAACACCTAGAGTAAACAGGTAATGTAAACTATGAGCTTTGGGCAATTATGATGTCTCAATGTAGATTCATCAATTATAACAAATGTACCACCTGACAGAGGATGTTGAGGTTATGCATGTGCCGGGGCAGGGAATACATGGGAAATCTGTACCGTCCTCTCAGTTTTGCTGTGAACCTAAAACTGCTCTAAATCCAAGAAGACTACAAATGGCCAACAGATGAAAAGATGTTCAACTTCACTAGCTACTGGGGAAATGAAAATGAAAATCAAAACTACAATGAAATTCACCTCACACCTGTTAAAAATGGCTATTACCAACAAGACCAGTAATAACAAGTGATGGAGAGATTGTGGAGAAAAGGGAGCCCTCCTTCACTGCTGTGGGAATGTAGACTGGTACAGCCACTGCCAAAAAGTCTGGAAGTTCCTCAAAAAATTAAGAATAGCACGACCATGTGACCCAGCAATCCCTCTCCTGGGTAGCTACCCCCAAAACTCAAAAACATGTATTCACAAAGAGATATGCATTCCTATGTTCACTGCAACATTATTCACGTTGGCCAAAACATGGAGACAACCAAAGTATTCTTCGAAAAAGAACTGAAATTAAGATGTGGTACATACACATAATGAAATACTACTCAGCGATAAGAAAGGACAAAATACTGCCATTTGTGGCAACATGGATGTATCTTGAGAATATTAAGCTAAGTGAAACAAGTCAATCAGAAAAACCATATGATTTCACTCATATGTGGAATATAAAACTGACACTCATGGACACAGACAGCAGTGCAGTGGTTACCAGAGGGAATGGGGGCATGGGGGTCTAATATACGGTGATGGTTTTGGCTTTGGGTGGTGGGCACACAGTGCAATATACAGATATTGTATTGTATTATAGAATTGTACACTTGAAACTCATATGATCCTATTAACCAATGTCACCCCAATAATTTAGTAAGAAAAATTTTAGAAAGTTTTTTAAAAAATAAATTAACATCATACAACCCTGGTAGAATCTGATTGAATGAGATAAAGTTTCTACTACTCTGACAGAAAGTTATAAATAAATACTTATTTTAAAAATTTAATTAACATAATATCACAACTATGCAAGAAAACATGCAGAGAAAATTTACCAAAATGTAGTTGTCTTTGGACAGCAGAACACTAAGTGATTTTTTCTATTTCTCTGTATTTTCAAGCACTCTAGGATATATTAACTTTTTAAAAAGATTTTATTTATTTGTTTATTTATTTATTTATTTAGAAAGAGAGGAAGGGAGGGAGAAAAAGAGGGAGAGAAACATCAATGTGTGTTTGCTTCTCATGCATCCCCTACTGGGGACCTGGCCTGTAACCCAGGCATGTGCCCTGACTGGGAATCGAACATCCTTTCACTTTGCAGAATAACACCCAAATGAGCCACTACGAGCAGGGCAGCATATTCACTTTTATAATGACAAAACATTAACTGTACACAAAATAATAAACCTAAAACATCAACTCCCATATTATGGCAACCTAAGCCTTTAATGGAATGGTTAACTACTCTGTAACACAAAAAAGTAGCTAACTATACATGTTTGAACATGTCCCATTTTCTAACTCTATAAGCCTCCAGATTTCTCTCCAGGCTCAAAGACAGTTATACCTAGTAGTGATATGGGACATCCACATACATTGTCAGAATAGCACACATTTCTGTTTTCATTTCTCCCAGAGATAGACACATCACACAGGCTAGGCCAGTCACTCACCTTCATTTCTATGAACATAGCTGCTAGGGCG